CTGGGGAGTGTCAGGGACCTCCGGGGCTAGATAGCCATCGCGCTGCCACCATACAGTCCAGTGAATCTGGAGCGAAGGGGCTTTTTCTCGTCACGGCGAGCATCCGCCATGAGTAGGCCCCAGATCTAGGTCTAATGAACGGCCTCACTATCGCTGCACTTGCTTGCACTCCTTTTGGGTCAGCTCGGCCCTTGCTCCGAAAGTCGTCTGGGGAGAGGGCGGGAGCTCGGACAAGAGAGTGCTCCAGCTTTGCCCGTTGCTGGCGGTGGAGTCCTTTCGTCCCCCTGCAGGGGCGATCGGAGGTCGCCTCGTTTGCGTCGGAGCAATCGCTGTTTGGGGGGCGCGTCATGGGGAGGGGGTGGGGGCTAAATGGCGTGGCAGCGAGGGCTGCAGAAATTCCTTCCGCGCCTTTGACTTGCTCTCCTGGTGGGGGTCGCGGGTCAGGACGTCTTGATACGTCTCGATTGTGGCTTCGGTTTCCTGCGTCGCCAGAGGAGGAGGAGGAGGCGGCTGAGGAGGAGGAGGAGGAGGAGGAGGAGGCGGAGAAGGAGGAGGAGGAGGGGACCTCCAGGGCCCCTCAAAGGGCCTTGCTGGGCGCAAGATGTAGTGAGCTGCCGCAGGCCGCTTGCATGGCCACATGTTGTTGGCGATTGGGTCGGGTCGGGACCGTCGGGTCGGATTCGGTCTCGAACGATCGAGTAAGCTCGAGCTGCACCCTTGGCTACAGAAGGCCTGGAGCAGCAGTGTAGATCGTACGACATAGCGAATGAAGGCCTGGTATACAGAGAGGCCTTCAGCTTAGCATCGCCCGGACGTGTGCCTTGTTTTCTCAGTGGAGACCACCATGAAGCAGCCTGGATCGTTTCGCACCAAACAACGAGACCGACAAGTGCGCGGGGAATGGACGTCCGACGGATGGCGAGTTTAAAGAGCATTGTGAAGGATACAGTGGAGGCCCAAGCCACGAAACACCACTGCTTGCCTCCAGGGTGGCCCGGGTTTCCTGGGTTTCGATGGTTTTGTGATGGAAAGCGTAACGTGCCCGCACCAAACATCGACGGTTTTGATGGGGTCTCATGGTTCACTGGTTCAACCATGAGACCCCTGCACGAGGGCCCGGGGGTTCGAAAAAGGCCCCGGGAGGCCGAAGCCCGCCATGATGTGATCGGGCCCCCCCCCCCCCCCCGATCACGCCCGTTATCGCGGAGAATGAGAACACGTTTTTGATTCGCGGGTCGAGAGCGAGCCTCTAAGCGTGCCGCGCACAGCTTTGATTAACAGAGGAAGGGAAAAAGAAGGCGGGGCATCGCGGATAATGAGAACACAGGCTCTTGGATTTCTTGTGGTCGGGTCTCCACTGTATCATAACGGGTACCACGAGGCAAATCACGAGGGAGACCGCTCCGGGAGGCCATGCTGGAGGCCACAAAGGAGACCTCGCGGGGAGACCCTTCGGGAGGCCACGTGGGAGAGACTGCGCGGGGGACCGATTCGGGATTCGGATTCGTTCACGCCCGTTCTTCAGGAGGGGAAAAAACACACAGACACAATTAATTGTCGATTCCCTAGAAAATATAGGAACATATGGAAAGTGGGGGGTAGACAAAATACCCGAAAATATGTGAACATATGGGGAATATTTTTGCGTGTCTTTTTTTGTGTCCCAGTTTCCCTTCAGTTCTTAGAAACAGTGGGGAGGACCTTCACCTGCCAGTGAGCAGTGCAGGCAGAAGTTTCCGAGGCCCGCGCGGGTGTCCACGGTCAGCGCTGGATCCCATGGGTCGAGCGCCGACCCGCGTGGACTTTCTGTTCTGCTATTTCCGCGTGCTATTCCAGGTCACCGAGCGCGTTCCACTACCCGAAAAGGGCCTACTCGCAAACGTCAGCAAAAAAACACGTCTGCTTCGATGTAGTGTATCGTAGATCCCCCGCGGCGGATCCAGGCCATTTTGTCAGCATCTACTTTGCGAGTAGTAGAACGCGCTTGTCTTCGAACGTGCGTTTGAGGTTCTTGCGTTTCGTTTTGCTTTTTGTTGGCTCCCATTGGATGTCCGCCCTCGCTCACAAGCGTCTGGCCTGGATGGTCCCTGGAGGGACTGACCCTGAACGCAAGGGAGGACAAATCAAATTGACCCCTATAATTGGCCCTTGCTACACTAGAAAAACAAGCAATTACATAAACATAAAAACTCGGATGACCGCGCGGATTCCTCGGATCGGCGTTGGAGCCCCCTGGCGGCGCCTCTGGCGCCGCCCCCGGCGCACTTTGCGCGCCTGGGAGGGGGGTCCAGCGCCAAGCTGAGGAACCCGCACGGACCTCGGAGTTTGTATCTTTATGTCATTGTTTGTTCCCCCAGCCCTGGGCGTTTACTAAACAGCCCTGCCCTAAACAACTGGGTGCGTTTACTAAACGGATTCGCTTGCCGGGGCGCTCATCATGGTGGTCGATGTTCTGCTCTCTATGAACGGAGTTCGGCGTCGACGTCGGCAGTGGGTTGGATCGCACGGGGGTTGGTCCATCTCGCACTGCCGCCCCCCGCCCAGGAAGGCCCATGATCCGATTTGGTGCGGTTCGATTCGAAGGCTGGGGCCGCGATGCCGATTCAATTTGGCTCGGCTCGGTTCACCAGCATTGGCCGGGGCCAGCCCGAGCCGGGCGCAGCGTTGTGACCCCTAGTATGCGCAAGGGCGCGCGGCCGGACGGAGGAGAAGAGAAGCATGAGGAGGAGGATCAGGACGAGGCCGAGAGTTGAGAACGGGCGAGGCCACCCCTGGATGCCCCTTGGATATCCGGGGGCTCTTCTTCCAGGCCGTCCCAGGAGCTCTCCAGGTGCGTCTTGGAGTCAGATGTTTGTTCGGGGGGACCTGCATGGGACGCAGCTGACGAGTCTGTTCGACTCTAGTTCGACTCGAGGTCACCCCGGTCTCGACTCGAGGTCGATTGAAGTCGACGGACGAAGTGTGCAGCGATTGAAGCGAATGGTTCGTTGCATCGACGAATGTGCGGAGCGAATGGTTCCAGGAAGATCCCCAGAACGATAGTCTAATGGAGAGCCCTCGGACCATCTCGGACCTGTCGTGGGACCCTCTTGGGACGTCCGGGGCAGGAGAGGCGGATGCCGCGAACAACCGAACAGGTATCGGCAGAGGTGGTGAGGCCTTCTGAAACAGGGCCAGCAGGGTGTGTTACGCTGCGCTGGCAAGGCAGTCGACGCGCTGGAGTTCAAGCAGTGGCGAAGCGTCCTGGCTCGCCTATAGCCCTACCAAACAATGTTCTAAGAACGTTGATTTAGAACATTTCTGGTTTCCACGAAATGTGTTTGGAGCATGTATGGTTGATATTGTTGTTTTTAACACATCGGGTTTATGTTCTAAGATCATTTGATCTGTTCTTAGAACATTTATGGGTTCTCAGAACATTTCGTTGTAGGACAATAGGAATGCCGGGACGCGATCGGTTTTTGCCGAAGGAATGCGGACCAGGTCGGGTTGGGGAGGGGTTCGCTGTGTTTTAGGTCCTTTCGTGGCTGGTCTTCTAGAGTTCTTCGAGCACACAGGCGGTACTACAGTGAGGGCCCATGCTAAGAAACACCCTGCTTGCCTCCAGGGTGCCCTGGGTCTCTTGGGTTTCGATGGTTTTTCTGTGGAATGCGTGGCGTTCCCACGCCAAAAATCAGTGGACGTCCTGGGGTCTCAGGTTTTGGTTTCTTGTGGAAGGTTTCTTGTGGAGGGGCCCCCACTGTAGAGCGCTAGGAGGGTCGTCGTTGCTTCTCAAGCGTTCCCTATGGTAGTAGTCTGACCAAGTCCGCGGTTTCAGTGAATTGTTGGTGCACAGACGAGGCAGGGTGTCGGGAACAGGGCGATTGACCCCAAACAGCCAGCAAGTTCGGAGATTTCCGCTCCGAAAGTACGGAGCGCGAGCGAAGGCTGCCAGCATCGCCAGGCGGGTGGTCTTGGCCGTGTTGACTGGACAGAGTTCGGAGAGCTCCGCTCCGAAAGTACAGAGCGCGAGCGAAACATGCCAGCATCGCCAGGCCGGTGGTCTGGGCTGTGCCAACTGGGCAGAGTTCGCAGCGAAACCCGAATCTTGGCATCGCTCGGACGTGCGTATTTTTCTTGGCGGGGCTCATGGAGGAGCATCCTGGATCATCTTGCGAAACATGCGCGCGCTAAACCAAAGAATGCACGGGGAGTGGACGTCGGAGCGATGGTCAGGGACGGAATGCTGCAAGGCATGGCTGTACGGGATGGAACGAAAGGCGGCCTCGCGCGGCACGAGTCTTACATTCTCCACCTCCTCCTCCCCTCCTCCTCCTCCTCCTGCTCCTGCTCCTCCTCCTCCTCCTGCTCCCCCACCTCCCCCTACCCCTCCCAATCCTCCTCTTCCTCCTCCTCCTCCTCCTCCTCCTGGCTCCTGGTGGGTTCAGCGTCTTCTTGGCATCGCTCCGAAGTTTGCATTGTCTTGGGGGGCGAGGACCTCTGAGGAGCATATTGCATCATCTTGCGGGAAAAAACGACGAAGTACACACGACACCGAGAAACTCATTGGGAATTCGCGTCCGAGCGATGGCGGGTCTTGGCTCCTCTTGGATCCAGCGTTGTGGCTTTAGATTGCCGAACGATGGCCCTCAGAGGGCTATCACGGCCCTGAGAGGTCCTCCAGCAGGCCCAGGTCAGCATTGGTTGCCATTGAGTTGTATTTGAAACATTTTGTTTCGTATACATGCATGTTCAGTCTTGTCGATCTTCCAAGACGACCGAGAGGCTGCCAGTAGTGCCCCTTAGACGGCCCAGCAGACGCAGAATAATGCTCCAGGACGGCCCAAGAGGGACACAGCACACCTCCGTGGACCTTCCAGCTCGAACCACGTTGCCTTGAGCAAAGCTGTGTCAGATTTGTGTCCAGTGGCAGCTTGCTCTCCAACAGCTTGAGCCGCCATGAGAGCCTTCACGGACCGACTTGAGCATCTGAATTTGCTCTTCGGCAGCTCCCAAGATCGATGGACTCTCCAGGGATGGTCCCATCGCCGAAGTTCTCGAGAACGGGCATGCCGAAGGCCGGTCAGCCGGCAGAAGAAGGGATCGCGAATGCCTTCGACAGTGAGCTCCGCGGCACGTGCGAGCTTCGCCGGCGTCTGACAGAGTCTGGGCACCTGGGCCGTGGAGGCGCTCTTCGGCAGGCGCGCTCCAGTGACGAGGAGATGGCAGCCAAGACGCGCAACCAGCCGACATCTTTGAAGAGACGTCGTGATCCGCGCGAGCCGCGAGACGGGATGGTGGTGCGGCTGTGCATGTCTCAGAAGGAGAGCACGGGCAAGCACTGAGCCGTCTACGAGATCTGGGCGAAGCTGGGCGCTGTCATGGAGCGCGTCGAGGGGATGAATTTGGTCGAGCAGGTGCAGCAAGCGCGGGTCGGTCAGGAGGACGCGCAGTGGGTCCTCTTCCAGATGGCAAGGGCGCTTTTGATACGACGCGCGACCCCGGCAGGACGGTGGACAGGTCGCCCCCTAGTATGTGCACTGTCCGTTCAATCGGCTCGATCGACTTTGGCACGGGGCAGTCTTCGTCTTGGCATCGCTCGGACGTGTGCATTTTTTCTCGGCGAGAACCATCGAGGACCATCCTGGACCATCGAGCAACAAAAACACGCGCGAAACCGAACAGTGCACGGGAAATGGACGTCCGAGCGATGGCGAGTCGTGCTACCACAAGAACGCTGAACAGGGAACGAATGGGCTTTCCTGGCCACGGCGAGCGGCGGCCATTTTTCCCGACCCAGAGACACGGAACAGCCCGACAGTGAGAGCCCCTCCCTGATCCAGAGCGGTCTTGCTTTCGGCCTCTCGACTGCACAGGATCGGGCGCCAAGGAGCCCGGGGACAGCAGCCCACATCGCTCTGGAGGCCTACAGTGAAAACGTATAGTAAGGACGCGTGGTAAGGACGCAAGACCCTTGGAGGCTGAAGTTGAAGTATCCTGGCCTGCGAAAATTGCTAGGGACGGGCCGCAGAGGCTGAGGCAGGCAAGGACCCAAGGGGACCCTTGAAAAAGTCGTTTGTCCTTACTATGCGCGTTGACTGTACCCCGGGACTGCTCGCCAGCGTCGGTTCGCTTAAACTACTGCAGCGCCTTCGGGTACAAGTTGTTGCAGATTTCCGTTTCTACAGGCTGCAGATCCCGGACTACCGTCTTGGCAAGAGTTGGGTCGGCAGCCCTGCGTGGAGCCGCACACAGGACCGCCTCAAGATTAAGAGGGCCATCTTGTTTCACCACCTCGTTTTACTTTGTCTCGCCAACGTGGGCATCTTTCTTGACGGTCTGTCCGCGGCCCCCCGCGGCACCTCGCCTGAAGACCGCTTGTGCGCTTGTCTGCCCATGCGTGCACAGGCCACCGCCTGCGCCTCGCGCGGTTGCCGATCCTGTTTGTCGTTCATTTTTGGCCGGCGTGAAGTTGCCTGGTTGATCAGGTTCAACGTTGTTGGGGATCGGCTCAGTGGGGCAATCCCAATCGCTCATTCATCGTCGATAGAGGCATGATGGCCACCCCGCCCAGAATTCGTGCGGTTTCGCCATCGGGGGCATGTCGTCGATCGATTTATCTGCGACATATCGGCGATTCCAACCACCCCCCCTCAGTTGAGAGTTGCTCAGCGCGTGCTACACGCTCTGTGTGCTAATACTTTCGCGTTCATTGGCCGATGCCCCAGGTGTATCCCCTGTGTGCCCCACCCGCCCGAAGACCTCTTGCGACGCTAGACTCCCAGAAATGGTGAGATATTGCTAATGATGCACGACCTTGTTCTGCATCATCCCGCTTCTTCCAAAGGAAGAGGAACACATTCACTGAATGGTGTCTGATGCTTCGATGGAGAGCCACACTGTTCAGCTCGTGCCTGAAGGTCGAACCAAGCAATTCCAGCGCGTCTGGGTATTCCAGGTGCTCCCCACGCTGCCAGTTAGCGCGTGTGGGACTCGACGCAGCGGCGTCGCTTTCCGTTATCCATTCCCTCCTCCAGTCGGGCCGGACGAAAGGGGGGGGATTGGGAAAGGTGGGGTTACGAAATCTGCTGCATGCAGCTGGTTTCGGCCCCACCGAGGGGCCTATTCCTCGATACATGGCCGCCTCTGGCGCCGGGAGACGCCAGGAAAATCAGCTACGTGAGCTAAATCTCAAACCCCCCCTTTGCTATCCCCCCCTTTCGCCCGGCCCGATCCAGGTGCTTCAGGCTTTGATTTGCGCTGCCTTCTGGAGCGGACTCTTTATGGCCTGGGGGCCCGGGAACGTGGCTTGGGCGGGGCCAGGCCCTGGACAAATCGCTCCAGATCGCTCCGTAGAACACTCAGCGCGTTTTGATGGAATGCCTTGGGAATCTCATGCGTTTCCAAAGGAGTCCTAAGGATTTTCCAAGGAATCCTCCGGATGTCCTAAGGAATCCCAAGGATTTCCTAAAAAGTCCGATGGATTTGCCCAGGAATCTTATGGATGTCTGAAGTAATCCTGAGGGCAGAGTGTTCTGCAAGGGCCGTGGCGCCCGATACAGCGATCCCCGGTTTGTCCTGGTCCGACTCTGTCCCGGTCTTGGTTTCGTTTTGTCGACTCGGGGCCCAAAAGACGGGGGTCAATGCAAACGGGGGTCAGTCAGAGCGCCAGATCTTGCTTTTCGCCTCGCGGGGCAATTTTGGGAAAGCGAGCTGTACCAGCCAGCAGCCGGCCTTCGGGCGGTCGTCAAGAGCGCTGCCGATGCCAGCGCGGCTGCGGGGTAGGGAGGAGGACAATCTGTCCTTCCATACTCCTATCCTTGCCATCTAGTTTTACTGTTCAGCAGCGGGCAGTAGGGACACTCGGCATGCCGGTATGCCACTCGCGCCGGGCGCTTCAGTCAGGCTGCAAAGACTGTTTTTCAGACAGGCCGAATATGTTTGCAGGTGATCACACTCACTCACTTACGCACTCATCTTGAGGAAGTCTCGAGCGAGAGCCTCGTCTGTGAATGAGTTGCAGGGAAGTCAATGGGGCCCGCAAATCATGTTAGTAATCCCAGCGGGTCACCATCAAACAAGTAACGGTCGTCACGGTTGGGCTCCCCAGGCTTGAGTATGGAGAAAGTTTGGAGCGGGAAATTCCGTCTGTGAGTGAATTGCGAGGACGTCTCAGGCGAGAACCCCCTCCCTATGGGGCCCGCGAGTCTACTAAATCCCAGCGGGTCACCCTCAAACTTAGAATTTTCATCACGTGTGAGATCCTCAGGCCAGAAAATGGTTGCAGTTTCGAGCGGGAGCCTCGTTTGTGAGTGAATTGCGGTGAAATCTCAGGCGGGACCCGCTCCTATCTTCAAATCATGTTATTAATCCCAGCGTGTCATCCTCAAACCTCTAACTCTCGTTATTCCTGGGCTCGAGCGGGAGCTTCGTCTGTGAGTGAATTTCAAGGAAGTCTCAGGCGGGACCAATTCCGTTATTGGGCCCGCAAATCACGTCATCGCTCCCAGCGGGCCATTCTCAGGCTTGTAATTGTTGTTATCGTCGGGCCCCTCAGGCCTGAACATAGACGAGTCTCGAGCGGGAGCCTCGTCTGTGAGTGAATTGCAAGGAAGTCTCAGGCGGGACTCACTTCCGTATGGGGCCCGCTAATGATGTCAGTATTCCCAGCGGGTCATCCTCAAATTGGTAAGTTTCGTCACTTTCGGGATCCTCAGGCCTGAATCTAGAGGACGTCTCGAGCGGAAACCTCGTCCGTGAGTGCGTTGCTCAGAAGTCTCAGGCAGGATTGTTTTCCTTGTCTGCGGCGTGGGCCAAAGGCGTAGTGGATTTGGGGAGAGCGATCCCTCCGCGGTTGTCGTGGGTGTGCTTTTGGGGGCGTTGTTGGGGAACTCTGGAAATTTCTTGGTGGCTTCCTCGGGGCTTCATGTGGCCTCTTGGGGGTGTCCTGGGCGAAAAGGTCGGTGCTTTCCTTGTGGGACCTGTCCTGGGGCGTTCTTGGTGCCCTTCCGTGCCGTCTTCGAAGCCTCTTGAGTTGTCTTTGGGACCCCTCTTGCCGCCTCGACACCCTCTTGGGGGCTTCTTGGGCTGGGTGCGAGCGACCTTAGGGCCTCTTGGGCTGCCTTGGGGCGTCGGGAACCTGAAGAGCCAGAAACGCCGAACATTTGAAACACATTATAATACATCAATGACTTGTGCCTCTTAGCGGCTCTGGTTGGGGTGCTGTTCGAGGCTTCTGGGGCTCTCTTGGAGGTGTCTGGGGCCGTCTCGGGGCTAATGACAACGCCCTTGAGCAATGTTTGGGCGAGCCGTGGCTCTCTTGGACTTCTGTGGGCGGGCACAGCGTGTAGGGGGGAGGGGTAAGCCCATCCCCAAAGGTGAAGAAGGGGGGTTGAAGAGAAAACGCCCTAAACCGCCTACGCCCAGAGGGCTGGTGGAATTCCAGTTCGGGTGAGGACGGTAGGGGTAAGGGGCAGGGCGTTCGGGTAGGGTGCTAGGGCTAGGGGATGAGGATGTTGTTGTTTCTTTGTGTGAGTGTCAGGTAAGGGGGTTCGACCTAGCGTGCAATACGTTTATGGGAGTGTGGTTAGGGAGTTATGGTTAGGGTGTTAGGTTTAGGGTGTTGGGATTAATGCTTGGATGTTACGTTAAAAGGGTGTTAGTTGTTAACCTTAGAGTGTTCGAGTCAGGGAGTTCCGCTTCGAGTGGTACGGTTTGAGCTTGTTAGTGTTATGGTGTCAAGGGTAGGGCTTGTGGGGTTACGGTTAGGGTGGTGGGGTTAAGGTGTGAGGAGTCGGGTGGTAGGGTTAGGGTGTTAGGTTCATAATGGCAGGGTTAGGGTGTCAGGGTTTGGGAGCCAGGGGGCGGCGTGGCCAATTGGGCGAGGGGGAGGTCCAATGTTCGGGGCAAAGGGGGGAAGGGGGGCGGATCCCTTGTCCAGGGGACCGAATTGGCAGGGCCTCGGATTTGGAGGTGCTCGTTGCGCGGTTGGCTACTCCACCTTCGAGTTCGTCGCCCATCTCTGGAGTTCATTCTCCGTAGACCTCAGCCTTTCGCCATTACCGTGGTTGACCATTTTGAGCCCAAGGATGGTGCATGGGCGCTCCCAGCCTCAGCCAGGATGGCATGTGCACCATGCCACGGCTGGATGGTCCTTGGTGCATCCTGCGGGCAGCGTGACCTCGGATGTCCGCTGTATGTCCTCCCGTACGCGCACCCACTTCATGTCGGGAACTCGGCGGCCCTGGATGGGCTGGGCAACCCTGCAGCGGTGAGGCGTCGGGCCACGCTGCATCGCCGTGGAAGGAACGGCGTCCTGAAGAAAACGGGTCCCAGTTCCCTGGGTTTCCCCTGGACCGTTTTTTCATCCGCCGTTTCTGGACGGTCTCTCGGGCCCGTGCAGGGTCCAGAGGGGGACGAACATGGCGGAGCAAAAGTCCAGGACACCTCTGAGGAGGGGGGAGGTGAAGGAGGAGGAAAAATACGTCGAGGAGGATACGGTAATTAGGAGGAGGGTTCCATGAGCAGGGGTGAGGGCTCCATGAGCATGCGGATGAGGGACGAAGGGGGTAGGACCCAGCAGGAAAGGTGAGATAAGAGAAGACAAAAGGAGGAGAGAGGGTGAAGGAGGATGGAAGAGGCGGGAAGGAGGGGGAAGATAAGGGAAGACGAGGACAAGAGAGGGGAGAAGAGGAGGAGTAGGAGGCTTAAGAAGTGCCCCAGCAGTCCCCAGGAGGGGAGGCGCCGGCGTCGTACTTGTCGCCGTCGTCGTCGTCGCCGTCGCCGCCGTCATCGTCTTCGTCGTCGTCGTTGTCGTGGTCTGCGTCTTCGTCTTCGCCGTCGTCGTTGTCGCCGTCGCGGGACGCCCACCCCTGGCGCCGAGAGGTTGGCGACCGGCGGTGGCTCACGCAACACGAGCGGGTGGAGAAGCTGAATTGGACTGCGCACAATCAGGCTCCGCTCTTGACACAGGGGCGATGAATCCTCCTCCCCTCACTCATCTTCTCTCCTCTCTCAAACTTCTCCTCCTCCTTCTCCTCGTCCTCCTGTCTCCCCCTCCTCCTCCTCCGCCGCCTTCCTCCACTCCTCCTCCCTCCTCCTCCTCCTCCTCTCCTCATCCCCCTCCTCCTACCTCTCCTCCTCCTCTCTCCCCCTCCTCCTCCTCCTCCTCCTCCTCCTCCTCCTCCTCCTCTCTCCCCCTCCTCCTCCTCCTCCTCCTCCTCCTTCTCCTCCTTATCCCCCGCCTCCTCGACGGGATCCACCCCAGGCACTTCGGCCTTCTGGAAGAAGCCCAGTTTGACCTCGTATGCAGGCTCCTCAGAGCCATGAAAAGGTTGGAGCATTTCCGACCCAAACAAGAGCCATCGGGACGGTGCTGATTAAGATGCACAAGCCAGGGCCCAACCCGTGTCCGAGTTACAGGGGAATGAGTCTGATGCTTGGGTTTTGGAGAGTCTGGGGCAACACATCGACATCAGGAGTTTCGAGCTTGGGAACGAGCTCCTTGCCGAAGGCACCTTGCGTATCGGGCTGAAAAAGTTTGGGAAACGATTGTCGATCAAGCCTTGCAAGCAGAAGGGCTGTCTTGAGAGGAAAGAAGGTGTTCTCCGCAGCTGTGCCGTGGGACTGATCGGACTATTACAAGTACGTCGATCGTCAGTTGTGGAAAGGTTTGGTTCAGAAGACCTATTTCTCGGACTCGCTCGTCGTCATCAGTTGTAATGTAACCCATACAAGGCGCACCGAACTGTATCAACCCGCGCTTCAGCCCTACCAGCTGTGTGCCCGCGGAGAGGAATATCTGGAGCTTGCTGGGCCGCTACTTTCGTTATGCAGCAGTATTGTTTGCCGCCCATGCACATCTGGGTGGGCCCGGATCTCAGGGCGCAACCGACAATTTTCATACTCGTTTTCATGCTGGCCAGCCATAACAGCAAGCCTAGTAAGCTGATGGTTCATTTTGTTACGGCATCAGCTAGCATGCATCTGTCGATTGTGTTGACCTCCACAGTGAGATCGCCAAACATAAGGTTGCTGGTGTTGCCCCACCGCTGGTGATCAAGGCCGAACTGTCGGCCAAGTTTAGCCAGTAGGCTGGGCCAGAGGCCAGCCTAGCCGAACCCGCTGCCACCAACGTAGGAATTGATTGATTTCACTGCAGGCGTCAGTCCAAGAAGTAAGGGAGAAAAAGTCTCAAAGGCCTTGTAGTGAAGTTGAAGAGTCGTCTTCGCGGATTTCGTGCTTTGCGACTTGCAGGAGGAGACAAATAATGTTTGGATCACGTATTTCGAACAAGCTGGTTATTTTGGAATTGGAATATAAAGTATCATTGTCCAGGTGTCTCAGGAGGCGCCGGACTCGTTCCTGAAGGTCGTTGGGCCCAAGTGCGCTATTCGTTCGAGGGCCCTATCGCTTGCCCTCTTCGAGGAACCTACCTTGAGATCAGCCCTTGGACATTGCATGTACTGGAGTAGGAGTGTTTCCACGGCCGCCCAGGATCCAACCATATAGAGTTTAGACGTTTTGAATTTAGATGTCTAGCTGCAAGAACTGTTGATTATCCTTCTCGCGGTTGGGGCAACATCAGGGGTCCTCTTGGTGCAGAGGCTGGTCGTGGATTGGCCGATTTGTGTTTACCATCAGAGCCTGCGAGGCCTACCCACTCACAACCACCTCTCCTGCGCTTCTTCGGCGCATGGTGGCAGCAGCGCGGGAGAAGCAGTTGGCCGTCTAGGCCGCCAGACAGGCAGCACTGGTAGACACAAGGCTGGCGAAGCAGGATCGCAGCCTTCTCGTGTCGTGTTTGGCCCAATCTATTTAGACCCGGTGCAG